CGAGGAATGCATATAGGATATTGGTAAGAAAGCCAGAAGGAAAGAGACTCTGCGGTACAAGAGATCTGGTTGTAAAAGTATTTACTCCTCCACTAGTGATTTTTGAACTGTGTTCAATATCACTAGTCGAGGAGGATGAGGTTGGCAGGGCATGTAGCACGAATGGGGAGGCGAGGAATGCATATAGGATATTGGTGGGAAAGCCAGAGAGAAAGAGAGATTGAAGTGCAAGAGATGTGGTTGTAAAAGTATTTAGTGCTAGTAGCGAAAAAAAAGAGCATTGCAGGTAGCAGAGGGGGAGCACTCAAAATAGTAGGTAAAGTAGCATACCTTCTTACCGATTGTGCTCTCGGCCCAGGAGGTCATTTTTCATTTAGTTCCGTGAAAAATGAACATAGATGGCAGCAGCATTGCACCGAGGTGTCATGGCCGCCATGTTGCCAACCAATAACATGGGAGTTGCACGGGGCTGGATATGAGCGACGTGAGGCCTAGGCCGACGCATTAACCGGCAGTATTAGTTGGAATATTTTGACGATAAAACAATAAGTTTTGTAGTTTCTTGGCATTGCTGTGATTTTTACAGTTACTCTGTTGTGTTCGTTTGTAGAAAGAAGAAATTGTTTGAAATTATTTTTGAGGGCACAGGTAAGTATTGCTTATATTCAACATTTTGGGGGTTGGAATGAAGCAGCCTACTGAAGCGTTTTTTTTTACGAGACTACGACATGGACCAAATCTTTTGCGTGGTTGGTGTATTAATTCTGTTGGTTACTGTAGAAGCTCTCTTGGTCTTTGTGGTCGTGATTCAGCAGTTGTGATAAAATTCCGTGGTTAGATCTATCAAGTATTAATGATTGTAGAAAGAATGGACAACAGTGATACGAAAATCCCAACAGTGGGAGCTGCAGTAAAAGGCATGGCTGAAACTATCCCTAGAACCTTTCCAAATATGAGCCTTATGCGTTAAACAGCAAATGAAGTTAAAACTATAAAAAAGTTAAAAGGTAAATTTATCCCCATGCTTAATATAACACCACCTAATGAAGATGTATGGTGAAGTGGAAGTACAACTACATGCATGCTTCACGTCGGCACCAGGAGATGAGTTGTCAGCCTCATGCCTCGGCCACTTTACCCATGTGAAGGAGCCTTGACCATTATTATCATTTATTATCATTCAATAATCCATACATACAGGTATTAACAACCATTTGGATAAGGAGACTGTCAGTTTCACATCTAATTCCCGTGCATAGCTTTACAGTATACACTGTACCATCCTAATATAGGGGGTTTGTTATCTGAATAATATTATCTAGATCCAGTTACCATTAATTTAATTGTCTGTACACAAATACAACAAATTAATCAGCTATATATTACATTTACACATTTGAAAAATCAAAAGGCATAAATTCATCTACAGAATAAAAGGAATGTTTCATCAAAAAAGATTTTAATTCCTTTTTAAATGAGTTAAAATTTTCCCTTTGTTTTATTTGTTCAGGGACCTTATTATACAAACTAATTCCCATATTTATCACACTCCTCTTAAAAAGAGCTGTAGTACAGTGCTGTACATGAAAATTTAATTTTCTTCGTGTGTTATAATTATGAATGCCTGAATTTATTGCCTTAAAAGCCTTTTATTTTTTGATAAAGCGTGTCACCTACAATATATACAGAGGAGGCAATGTTAAAACATTGTAATCTTTAAAAATTTGTCTACATGACGTGCGACTACTAATGCCACTAATCACTTGAAGAACCCGCTTTTGCAATTTAAAAATGCTTTTACTTTCCCCATCCCCACCCCACAGTAAGATACCATTTCTTATACATGACTCAAAATTCGAAAAATAAATAATTTTTATCATATATGGACTCATTATTTCTTTTAATTGGATAGGGATAGTTTTTTTGGACACTGGGTGGAGCCTTGCTGGGGATCGACTCCCGAATTCTCAGCAATCCAGCTGGTAGTGCATTCAATACCGACTGAGATATACCAGCTCCCTGTTAAAATATAATCAACAACATTATGCAAAGTAAAAAAAATGGCTTGATGAAGGTGAAGTATTAACAGAATTACTCATAAACCTGCAGATTACATTCCTTTCACTGGCAGATTCTGTCATTGCTGTAAATTGTTGTGGACAATATAAGAAAGTTTTCAACAAATTCAGACAGACAAAGGGTAAACACAACAAATATATGGCCTGCATGTGTTCACTAGGTATGAGAAAGAAGTATTCTTATATTGTGGAATAATTTATTCTGTAATGTTGAATCTTCCGTCCTTCCCCTTGGTACTGCAACTCAGGGTGAGCTTTGGCCTCCTGAACAGTCTGCCTCCATTCTTCTCAATTCTTCATTCTGAGGCTGATTATCTGGTTTTTGAACAATTGATTTTTATGGTCTGAGGTTGTTAGCCTCAGAGGACTAAGGTGTCCCTCTTTGCCTGGCTCCTACCCCTTGACCTGACCTGCATGGAGGACGCTACTTCCAGCATAGCTCTTAGGGTCACAGGAATGCTCTAACCCCACGACCACAATAAGGCGAAACACCTTGAATCTGCCACTAAAAATTTATAAATCGCGATATGGACGTATTTGAAGCTGGCTTTAAATTATGATGTTTTATCTCACTTCTGCTTAGTAGAAAAATTTACTTTTACTGAAAATTCTTAAGTATTATAAATACTTTTGAATAAAATAATTCTTGACCAAATTACTTCTCGTTGAAAATCGTAATACAACCTGGTATGGTATGGGGGAATTTCAACAAAATTGGTTGACACATTTCAGTTTTGGTTAAAACTGTTCAACCTTGAAGGATGCTACATGAAAATTACTGGCGTTTCTATATGCATCTCAAGTAAACCACTCAGAATATTTATTATAGTGAAAGGTGGTGTGAACAGAAGTAGAGAGCAGTGAGACACGTATTTTAAGCCTAATGTATGTTATCTCAAAGTTTTCCAGGTTTTCAAGATATTTTTTAAAACAGTCTTTATGCTGTCTAGATGCACTAACAGAGTGCCCGAATTGTTATGCTATGGAAACGTTTCCGAACTTGTTTTGTTGTTTCATTTCTCATTGGTGTGTAGTGTAGAGTTACTTTCATCCTTTCTTCCCTCATGTTGTGTGTTGTTCACTGTGGATTGATTCTTAGAAGAACAGTGAGACTTAAGACTGTAGCCAGTGTCTTAGGGTTAGGATGAAGCCATTAGCTTGTGAGGAATATTTTTGATATTTTATTGATTGGAATAATTTATTGAGTTTGAAGTGCTGCAGGTTAGTAAGAATAAACATACTGTCAATGTGAGGCCTGTAAATATTTCCTTCTAACTTAGGAGCCAAGTCCAAGAACTGTGAGATGGAATGAGAAACCGAGATACGTTAGGTGAGGATTGTGCTCATATTTATTAAAAAAAGAAAATGGATATATCTTCATATAAATAATAGTTGTTTTTGTGATCTGGGAAGACTCAACTCACTGTTTCTGGGATATGGAAGGGGAATGACAGCAGAATGGACAAATAAAGGAGATGGGAGTGAGATGTGAGAGAAAAGAGGTAAAGGAATGGAAGAACAGGGGTAAGGGAACTGACTTAACAAGAAGGTGAAGGAAAAAGGAAGGGAGGAGAGCAGTGTTGATGGGATGAACAAATAAATTGAATTTCAAAGCAGTTAAGGAGAATGAAGGGTTGGAGATATTGAACAAAAGGGACAAGGAGAGGGAAGGAAGAAATTATTTTGTCTTTTGCCTTTGAATGGTGACATGCTGATGTAATAGGAAGAAAATTCTCTGTGTTGTTGTGAAAATTGTAATTGCCATCGTAACCTGGCTGATAGTTATGTAGGCCTGTATGAGCTAATAGGTTTAATTAAATTTGTCAAAAATATTAATTTATGTAATTTATACAGGGAATATTTTTACTCTGTGGACTGGGTCCATGGCTCTGCACTTCCTGGCAGCTGGTACTATGACTGCTGCGAGGCGCGTATGAATTTTGCTGATGAATCATCATGCCTGACGGCTGATTACTTTCGGAGTGAAGTAATTACAATTCACAGATCACAGGAGGTGTTTAAAATGCTGACCTCTTTACACATAAATATGTTTTGCAATTAATTGTTTTGTTGAAGAACACAGGTATAACGATCCTTGCACTTGCAGTACACCAGACACCAACTTTCACTGGATGGTTTCAGCAATTGTGTTGCCGTTCTTGCACTAGACTTTGACACTCTAGTCCCTTGAGCTACACGTTTCAGTGATTTTCTGAGTATATGTTTCAGTCTGGCCCCTGTCTCATCTAACTTCTCCTCACCAAGCACTTGGCACTCGTGTTTTTGTTTCTTGTATATTAAGAGTCCCGTTCTAAATTTATTCACCAAATTATGAATTGTTTGTCTGCTGGGAGCTGTTTCATCATGAAATCTATGTCAAAATTTTCACCAACACATTCTAGCAGATCTGTATTTCACATAGGTGTCATACAGAAATACATGTTGCTCTAAAGTATACCGCCCCATGATGTACCACACTGTTCACTAACTATAACTGAGAACGAATGGCTAATGGAGCTGATAACTGCTGCCTACTACTGACAAATCATAAAGACTCCCATGCATGAACCAAGAACCAGACTGCTCGCCTTGTAACACAATACCATCAAGTGGCCCACACATTAATTACTACTCTTCATTCCAAATGTTATTGGCCATCAGGCATACTGATTCATCGACAGAATTCATGTGTGCTTTGCGGCAAGTGACGCCTTCGCCACTGTGAAACGCAGAGCCATGGACCTGGTCCACATAGTAAAAATATTCCATGCCTAACAAGCCAGGGTGCCATGTTATATCAGAGGCTTTTTTGAGATCCAAGAATACCGCCGCCATAGAGCTATTATAATTGAAATTTAATGTTGTGTGTTCCATAAGCCTCTTGCATTGCACTGTCATGCTATGCCATGCAGGGAAGCCAAACTGACTTGCATTAAGCAAGACTCTTACCTCAGTGTGACTTCATATGATTTTTAGAATGATTTTTTCGAAAAGTTAGCCTGTAGTGGCAGGCTCATCGGATGTAAATCTTGAGGAAATTTTGGGTCCATACCCAGTTTCAGTAAGGTTATGATTTTTGTATCCTTCCAAGAGTCTGGAAAATGCGTCATCCAATGGCAGTGATTAAATAAATGTGTCAAAGGTACAAATGGTACCTGAGGCATTCATTTGAAATTCCATCAGTTCCACAGGCCTTTCTCAGTTTCAGTGATGTTATTAATTTCTGTATATCACAGATTTTTACTTTTCCAAGGTGGTGTCATATGCAGCTTCAAGCAGTACTTGGACTCTAGCATCCACCTACCATTAATGGTTTTCATCACACAAGTAATGCTGTATGAATTGATTTTCTAATCAGTCTGCATTCGTGGTGACTTTATCTAGATGTTGATATTTAAGGCCCAAAGGGTCATGAATAGCTATTGGTGCCTTTGGTCCATTTATCTTTATTATTGACTTTTCAATAGAACATATAACCTGACTTCATTTTCCTGTTTTGATTTTCCACTGTTCAAGTGCCTTTCTGGGGACCATTTTTATGATCGTTTTCTTGACCCCACTGACTGCCAC